CAAACTCACCAGCCTGGTTTGGGGTTTTAGAATTGGATCTAGAAGAAACTGTAGGGTGTTCAGAAAGGGGCTTCAACTAATAACTCTGAGTTAATGACATGGATTGAAAACTAAGTTCCTAAGAGACTGATGTGTCCCTAGCTTGTTAGGAAGTAACTGCAAGGAACTTATTTGGTATATATCATATATTAATGATCTATTACGTTGGAACAGACTACCCCCAAATTTAGTGGCTTCACATGCATGTTGTCACGGATTCTGTGAGTTAGAAATCTAGTCTGACTTAGTCTTGTGCATTGAAGTCTTTTATAAAGCTTCAGCCAAGCTATTGCCTGGGCTAGAGTGTCTCATCTGAGGACAGGAAGGGCAAAGAGCCACTGTCCGGCTCACATGGCCCTTAATAAGATGTTGTCTTATGTGTTTGCTGCCTGGAGCCCAGCCCACCCTCAGCACTTTGCTACAGGCCTCTGCTACAGCCTATTCCTCTTCTTGTAATCCTGCCAAGACTACATATTGAGACCTTGTCTCAGAAAGTGTAAACACTAGGGTGGCTTACACAGGGCATGAATTTTTATTTTGTGCACACTGGGGATTGGGAGAGATGGGGTCTCACTCTGTAGCCCTAGCTGGCCTGGAATTCATTATGTAGGCCAGGGTAGCCTTGAACTCACAGAGATGTACCTGCTTCTGTCTCCTGAATGCTGGGAGTTCTAAAATGCCCTGCAGTAGTATAAGTTTTTAAACAACATTGCCAGGCCCAAGTGGCTTCATAAACATAGCAGGCTAGGAGCCCAGAGTCCACATACATGCTGGTGTCTTCAGTGTGCTGTGTTGTGCAGCCCCTCTCCCTGGCCTGTTGATGGCTGTGTTTTTGATAAGTACTCACGTGGCAGAGAAAGAATGGGCTCTTGTATCCTCCTCTTATTCCATTGTGGGACTCACTCTTCCTGACATCATCTCATTACCCCCAAGTCCATTCACAATTTATTCAGACCAGCATATGAACTGGGGATAAAAGGAAGGAAACCAATCTTTTTCCTATATATCCACAAACTTGACTCTGACACCAGATGGGTGGGTTTTCCCCAGCAGCCAGTCCTGCAACTCTCCCCACACCAACAGGATGGCTTACAATTCTGTAATGCCTGTGAACACCCAGCGTCAGTGCCATGGGTTAAAGGATTTGCCCTGCAGGACCACACCCTGCTTCAGATGCCATCACAAGCTGTGAGTCCCTGAGCTTGTGTACAAAGCAAGGGTTTCTAAGACTTCCTCCACAGGTTTGTAATCTGCTGTAATAGCTCTGGTGTGTCAGAAAGGATGTGATAGGTTGAAGATGTTCCTTGGTTTAAGGTCCAAAAGGTTCTGAGCCCCTGTCCCAGTGGTGGGTGCCATTTCCCAGCATGGATATGCTAATCACCAAAAAAACTCCCTCGACTCCATCTCTAGTGGGTTTTCAGGTCTCATCAGGTAGGCGAAACCCAGTATTGACTCCATCTCTAACCCTTTCTCTTCTCTGGAGGATGGGGACTGGGACTGAAAGTTCCAAGCTACTAATTGTGGCTTGGTCTATCTGGTGTTCAGCCCCCACCACGAGGCTAACCAGGGCCCACCACGAGGTGCCTCATTAGAAAAGAGTCATCCAGCATCTCGAGGGTTAGAGAAGTGGCAGGAAGTGGGTAGAAACCAAGTGTATTTATTATTACATCACAGTGGTGTACAAGTATTCAGTCCGTAGCAGATCCCTGAGGCTATGTGAAAGCCAGCTCCCATGGTTGGTACCCATATTTATGTCCCTCTTGCCTCACTAGGCCAAACAATCTAGCTTGTGGCTGTAAAACACTAATGTGCTCCCTGTGGTAGGCTGAATAATGACCCCCAAAGACAGGACTTTATAATCCTGAGTGTATGAGAATGTGACCTTAAATGGCATGAGACTTTGCAAGTGTGGCTGAAGACTTGGGAAGGAGAGATTACCCTGGATTATCCATGTGGGCCCAGTTCATTTACAGGAAGATATGAGTCAGAGGGCCTATGACAGTACAGCGGCCGCCAGGGAAGGAGGTGATGAGGGAACCAGGCCGTGTGGCCATAACTGGAGTGTGGGTTGCTTCTTAGAATTCTTCAAGTATGGCTCAGCTTTGCTGACACCTTCATTTTGGCTCTTAAAATCTGCTTGGTTCTTCTGGCCCTCAGAAAAATGAAAGGTAATAAAGAGTACTGTTGAGAAGGCAGGTTTGTGGTCTTTTGTTCCTGCGGCGATGCGAAAGCACACTGTTCACCCGAAGACATGGGGAGCCCATTCGCTCTTTTGAAGAGCAGAGGTTTAGGTGCCAGGTGAAGGTAGGGTTCCTGAGGGTTTGTTTTGCCCTCTAGTGACTGAAACATTTTGTTTGTTCTGTTTTATTTTTTGTACAGTGTCGTGGGCTTCATAAAGACATTACATTCAAGTACTTTCGTATACTAGACTCAAGCATATCTGTGCTTTGTCCATTTTCACCCCCGTGATGCAGTCCTTTCTCTCCTGTGTCTAAAGCACACTAATCTGCTTCCTTCTCCCCAGTCCTCCCACTTGACATCACCCATGTGTATATAAATAGCTCTGGAGATTGCTTAGTCATAGAACCTGAGTTTGATCTCCCAGAACCTAAGTTAAAAAAAAAAAAATTTAAAAACCAGATGTGGGGGCTGGAGATATGGCAGTTAAGATCACTTACTACTCTTGCAGAGGACCCCGATTCGATTCCCAGCACCCATATCGGGGGCTCACAATCACTTGTAACTTCCATTCTAAGGGATTGAAAACCCCTTGGCCTCTGTGGTGTGTGTGATGCACATAAGCCCACACACACACACACACACACACACACACATACATACACACACACACACACACACTCTCTCTCTCTCTCAAAAATAAGAACAAATATTTTTTAAAAAGCTATTCATAATGAGCCATACATGCATGTGTCCCCAGTGCTGGCAAGGCAGACAGGTGACCCCTGGCACTCACCGGCCAGCCAGCCTGGCCTGCTTGGTGAGTTCCAGACTGCTGAGAGGGCACTTAAGAACAACACCCAAGGTAATCCTCTGACCTACACACACCCACACACTGTAATTTCCTTTTTTTAAAATTATTATTATTAGTTCTTTGAGAATTACATACATTTTTAAACCATATTTACCTTTCTTCCTATATTCACCCCCTTTCCTCCCCACCCAATTTTGGGATCTATCTTGTTTCTCTTCCTATCAAGTCCAAATCATGCTGCCCATATATTCATGGTCTTCCACTGGAATGTGTTCAAACTCCAGGGGCAACACTGTTAAAGAAAACTGACTCTTCCCCAGTAGCTGTCAGTTGCCAGTAACTGGTATTTGGTCTGTCTTGAGTTTGCACAGGGCTTGTGCATGCCATAACAACTAGTGTGAATGCAGATATGCAGCTGAATGTTTTTGCTTGTTTCGAGTGGGGGTTTCACTTTTCACTGTATAGTTCTGGCTGTCCTGGAACTCACTATGCAGACCAGGGTGGCCTTGAATTCACAAAGATCCACCTGCCTCTCTGCCTTCTGAATGCTGGAATTAAAGGTGTGTGCCACCATGCCTAGCTATAATTTTTTTCCTTTATGGTTGAGTAAAACTCCATTGTCTGTGTATCACATTTTTTAAAATTCATTCGTTTGTTGGTGGACATGCAGGTTGATTCCACACTAAACATGGATATACATCTCTGTACTATGCTAACTTAGGTTCCTTTGGGAAGTTTGGAGTTGTTTGGTTTTAAAGATGTGTTTATGTGTCTCTGTGTGCCTGCATGTATATATGTACATCACATGCATGGCTGATGCCTGCAGAGGCCAGAAGAGGGAGTCTGGAGTTCCAGATTGTCTTGAGCCACCATTGTGGCTGGGAATCCAACCTGGGTGCTCTTAATTATAGAGCCATCTCTCTAGCCCCTTTGGTTTTTAATTATTTGTTTGCTTTAAAAGCAAAGTCTAAATACATTGTGTAGCCCAGATTGCTCTCAAATTTACCATCCCTACTTTAACTTCAAACATTGAGGGTGGTGTGCCTGTGCTTACCACCCGTACTCTTCCAGTAACTTTGGAACAGTTTAGATCTGATTGCTTTGCTACTCTTTTTTTTGGGGGGGGGAATCAGGGAGGAGGAGGCACTTGCCACAGCACACATGTGAAGGCCAAAACACAACTTTTGGAAGTTGGTTCTCTCTGCCATGTGGGTTCCAGAGAACAAACTAAGGTCATCAAGAAAGTGCCTTTACCCATGAGACATCTTGCCAGGCAAAGTCTCTGTTTTGTTATGTTTTTACGGAGTTTAGGTCTTTTAGATCTCTTGTACATTAAGCTGTGAAGTCATAGGAAACAGCTCTGGCGGCCCAGGCTCTTTCCATCTAGAGAGCAGGTGAATGCTTCAGCTGAACCAGGTGCCCCCTCCCGGCTTCATTTCTCCTGATCATTTTCCTTCACCAATTTCAGGAAGCTGGCTCAGCTCTTGGTGCTTAACATGTTCAGCTCTTGGTGCTTAACGTGTTCAATGTGCACATTGCTTCTCTCGGCAAGACATATGCCCTACAAAGCCTAAACACAGAACCCTTCTCTGCTCATTCCTTCTATGTCTGTCACTTTGGTGCATTACTGGGAGTTGGCTGCCATGTGCCAAAAGCAAAGCAACCTTCTCTATCTTAAGAGATCCTCCCTAGCTCTCTTCAGTACCAAATTCTGCCAACACTGATAGAGTAAAATGAACATCTTCGGGTTGCTAAATGGGGACCTGCATGTCATAATTCCTCACAGATGGCATAGCATTTAGCAGAGAACAACACCAGAGGGTCCATTTTAGAGCTTGTTGTCATTTGCTTGTGTTGTACCTCAGGGCTGTAAACACTGTGGGACAAGCACACCTGGCGTAGGCAGAATTTCCTTCCTAGCGGTTCCCAGCCAGATGTTGTGAAATTCTTTTGTTTTGTTTGTCTCTAGTGCCTGGAAACCTTGGCTGCTACAAGGATCATGGAAACCCACCTCCTCTCACCGGCACCAGTAAAACGTCCAACAAGCTCACCATACAAACCTGTATCAGCTTTTGTCGGAGTCAGAGGTTCAAGGTACCAACTCTGCAGTGATAACTACAGAAACGACAAAGATAAATTAGAACAACCCACCTGTCAAGTCACGTGGGACGAGTGGGCTCGGGAGTCAGGCAGCACTCGGTTCAAAGATGGGAGCAGGCAGTAGCCCCTGCTTGGCCTCTGTCCGAGCTGTGATCTGTTAGAGCAAGGATGTTAATGACTCCACAGAGAGTCAAGGCAGCCATTCCCTTCCTTGGCGAACTGCCAGACCCACCTCTTCTCCAAATGTTCTCTTTTCTTCCTCTTCCTTATCTGAAATTTACTCCCCAATCACTAAAGTTCAGCAGTGCTGGTTTTTGTTAAATTAGACAGAAAAAAGAGCCCTCCCTCTCTCTTTTTATTTTCTCTCCCTTTTGCCTTAACCAGTTCAGTCTAAAAGCCACTAACTAGGCCCAAGAAAGAAGGGTACCCTGCCTGGGTTTCAAGCTCATGTGGGGTAAGTGAATGAGCAAGGCAGTTGAACCCCCATGACCATGTGGTTGGTTGCTTGTGTAGAACTGGAACATATAATGAATGTATCAAAACTAATGTATTCCAACTGCTGAAGAAGGGCTGTATACACGTGGAAGCTGGAGAAAACCGAAATGAATCCTAGAAGTAGTGTTCAGGGGATTGGATAGCGTAAGCTCGTGCCTTTCACTATGGAGAGGTAGATAATGATATAATTGTGCAATGACTGTGTGTGTATACACGCATACACCTCATCACTGTCCAGCACACTGATGATAAGTATAGCCAGCACTCAGCTTCTCCACCAGAAAGAAGCTCTGTGGGGAAATTACCCATGGTGTGCTGGTTCTGTGAAAGCATAAGATGTGCTCAGAACACCTCATGTGGGACAGAGACATTAATATAGACTTATCAAAAGGACAAAGCCACCTCAAAGGGGGTTCTACAACCTAACCCTGACATGCTCTAAGCTTCAGTTAATGATAGTAATAGATGCATCTTATTGACTAAAATAAGAGCACACACCACTTCATAGTGATGAATGAATGAACAGATAAACATTCCTGATCAGTGAATGCAAAATAGTAAGTATAAAAGGATGATGTAATTATTACTATATGACAACTGTCATAGTAATGATTGATAGGAAATGACCATCAAGGTCTACAAATATCCCAAGTCCTCACTTACTATTTGAGTAAAAATATATATGCTCTTAAGACTCTCCCACAGTGGCTGGGTGTGATGACACATACCTTTAATCCCAGCACCTGGGAGACAGTCAGGCTAATCTCTGTGAGGGCCAGGCCAGGCCAGCCTGATCTACATAGCAAGTTATAGGCCTGTCTCAAAATACAGCAAGCAAATGTGGGGGGAGGGGAAAGAGGGAGGGAGGAGAGGGAAGCAGAGAGAGAGAGGGAGGGAGAGGGTAGAGCATCATGTATTCCAGGCTGACCTTGAATTCCTAGTCCTCCTTGCCTCCCTCTGCCAAGTGTTGGGATTACAGGAATGCACCATAGTGCCTGACTGTAATTTAAATTATTTAAAAAAATATCTACAGCTAATATGTTACACAATTGTGAATGGTTCTGTGCTTCCTAAATAATATCATGAGCAACCAGTAATACCCACTCTTACCTCATTGGCCTAGAGGGCCTTGCAAAAAATATCTTTTTAAAGCCGTGGCACACACCTTTAATCCCAGCATTCGGGAGGCAAGTCAGGAGGATCTCTGTGAGTTTGAGGCCAGCCTGGTCTACAGAGTGAGTTCCAGGACGGCCAGAACTGTTACACAGAGAAACCCTGTCTCAAAAAAAAAAAAAAAAAAAAAAAAAAAATCATTTTTTTAAAAAAGAAATAAGCACTGGTTAAAAGCACTGGCTGCTCTTCTAGAGGATCCAGATTTAATTCCAGTAAATATTTTAAAATTTAAAAATTAGAAAGGAATAAGGTAAATAGATTGGAAAGTAAGAATTTTTATCTAATAGAATATTCTAAGGAACCTACAAAAAGGGACTAGAATCAATGAGTAAATTTAACAAGGTTGCAGGTTATAAGGTCACATACAAAAAGCTGTGTTCCCATATAATAGCAGTGAATAATTAATCATTTAAGTTTCTAAACAAATAATGATTATATATATTAATGATAATAGTACTATATATCTCTCCTTTGGGAGTTCACCTGATGCTCTTTTGTAGTATAGTTCAATAAACCCCTTGTTCAAAAAAGAAAATCTTACCATCTTACAAGAGTGTAGATAACTTGAGAATAAGTTGATTCCAGGGTGTCACCTGGTTGCAGGGAACTTGACTGGCATGTGTAAAGCCCTAGATCCCATCAACACTGGGAGCGAAAATGAGGAGAGGTTAATAAGATTCAAGAGCTCATTCGGAAACTAAGACCGTAGAGAACTAAAGAAGACCGCATAGATGATGGTACAGACCTCCCTGTTTACAGCTGAGACAACTAGAGTATTATTAAAGTGGTAATTCCCCCAGGCTACTCTATAAATTAATAATAAAAATAAAAAATATAATAAAAAATAGAGCTTAAAAAAAATGGCACGCTACTCTGAAGACAACACTTAGGAGTAAAGCTTGCCCAGGACAAGCAAGGCCAGGGCAGGGTCAGTGCCCCAACAATGCAATGCTAAAGGAAAATGGCCAACCCTGACATGCATATGCAAAGACAGAGGGTTTAGGATCACTAGATCCATCTTGGTAAAAGGCAGTTTGGTGAGGCCTACTCACCTGACCTGTAGACTTCCATAAAGCTACTGTCACCAAGACAGTAAATTATGAGCCAATCAGAAATTGCCTACATAAAAATCCAACCACCCATCTTTTTTTTTGGTTTGGGTAAATAAAGTTTTATTAAACAGAGCCATGCCTATTCATTTACATAGCTGTTTTTATTGTGTGGCCACAAAACTGGGTAGAGAAAGAACTATGTAGCACACAGAATAAAGAATATTTACTTCTGGCCCTTGCAGAAAAGGTTTTATAAAATCTGCTGTAGATCAGTGGAACCATCTAGAAACAGACCTCCACAGATGCAAACAATTGATTTTTATGGAAGTCCAACAGTGAAGCATTGTCATCAAATATTTCTGAAGAAACACTGCAACTCTTTCTGAAGGAAAATAAATCTTTAGTTTTGCATCAGAGTGTAGACAATGATTGACTTTAAATTAAACTACAGAAAAAAGTTATTGTGAGGCTGTCATAAAAATAGACATACAAAACAATAGACTTCACAGTACAAAAGTGAGCCTATAAATCCATGGCCAGTTGATTTTCAACAAAATTGCCAAGATCGTTAGATTAGAAAAGATAATCTTCAGCTAATGGTCCTAAAATTAAAGCCACCATGAGATGCACAAACATCAGAGTGGCTGAAGTCAAACATATCTACAGTAGCGGGTGACAAGGGTCCAGAGCAGTGAGAGCTCACACACAGTATCGGTAATGTAGCTTGGCTCAGTCATCCTGGGAAAGGTTGGTAGTTTCTTTAAAAGTTCTGTTCATAGTAATGAAAGCCTGGGACGGATGAAGAAGGAATGGTACTGTGCCCACATTATACAGACCTGTAGCAGGTAAAATAATGGTGTGGACTGTTAGCATTGGCTCCAATGTGTATGAACGTCACAGGCATGCTGAGTTGTTTGTTTTTTATGCCATTTTATGTTCTCAAAATGATAATAGTAGAAAAACTTGGTTAATAGTTGCAGGGTCTATGGGAGGCCCTATAAAACAAGAGCAGGAAGGCTACCAGTGTGGCACAGCTTGTTCTGAGTCAGAAGATCAGCTCCTGCAGGACTATGTGCTCAATTAGTGTATTAACATAAAGAGTGAAATGAAAATGTAAATGAGGGTTAAATGAGTTTGCTGTGAGAGTTAGCTATGAAGCACGTCTAGGAGCCTGAGCACGTGCAGTTCTTGCAGAATTTGGTTTCCAGCACCTATGTTCAGCTCCTCACAGCTGCCTCTAACTCAGATATTAGGGAATGTGACACCATCTTCTGGCCACTGTGGGCACCTGTACTTGTGTACATAAACAGACGTACACATGAAAAAATAAATCTTGAGAACTGGAGAGATAACTAAAGCTCCAAAGGACCTGGATTGATTCCCAGCATCTACGTGGCAATTTCAGAACAGTCTATAACTGCAGTCTTAGGGACCCAGTGTCCTCTTCTGACCTCTTAGTCCCTGCACATATGCAGTGCACAGACATACAGACAAATAGAAATAAAGGTTAAACTTTTTCTAATAAAATCTTACCTGGTTTACCTGGTACATAATAAATAGTCAATAAAATGTTTAGCTGTTTTTATCAGTATTTTATGTTTAAGGAATATTGTCCTTAAAGATTTAGTTAAATATAGTGGGGATGAGAACATTAAAAAGGAATTCTCATGGACAGGGAACACATTAGTAGTATGGAGCTACTGGCCAATTTAGAATAGACAGTAAAACTAAGGAATGGTCACGGGGAAAGGGTGGGCTGGGAAACTAAGGCTGATTGCTCAGGGTTTGGGGAGAAGGGGGCTGCCAGGCCCCTTTGGACCTGACACCCCTCATAACATTCCCAACATCAAGTGATAACGTTTACCCCAGGTCCCCCAAGTTCGTAGCTATCTCATAGTACAAAATATGTTTGGTCCACCTTAGAAGTGCTCACAGTGTTTTCTGTTGTGGCAGTTTGCTGGGATGGAGTCAGGCTATGCATGCTTCTGTGGGAACAACCCTGACTACTGGAAGCACGGAGAGGCAGCCAGCACCGAGTGCAATAGTGTCTGCTTCGGGGACCACACACAGCCCTGTGGTGGGGACGGCAGGATTATCCTCTTTGACAGTGAGTATGCTGGTGTCACAGGCATGACTAGGGACAGCACGCCCACCGACTTACCTTTCTGTCTTTATTCATTCACTTCTCAGTACTTACGAAGTACCTGTCATGTGATGCCAACCATAGCTCAGCCCCTGGGACTGAAGCACAGTGATCATCTGTAGTTATGATGAGTGCTCTGAGTAGCTTGGCTATTGCAGGCAACTTTGCTGGTCCTAAACCATCATGGCCTGCAGAGTAATGATCCATGGGAAGCAAGAAGTTAGTTTAGTTCTGCACTACTCAGTAGCTGGTGTTGGTTCAGACTTCAGGAGTCTGACCCCAAGTACTTTATTTTAGGCATATTTCAACACAGCACAATTTGGTGACAATTTTCCTGGTGATAATTAACTCAGTCCCATGTGTACAATAAAGCTTAAAATGTGACCACATCAAAACTCTTTGTAAAGTATGTGTGACATCTTCGTAAAGGTAGGTTCTATAGATTGACACGATAAGGGTGTGGAGGAGGATCCACTGTGGCCTTGGCCGCACAACGCATAGGGCACCAGTCTATTAACCACATCCCCTCCAGCCTTCTGGTAACAGATTAGGCATCCCTCCCTTTGAAGGAACAACCCAGTGCATTTAACATTCCTGGTTCCCTTGGTGCTAATCTGTGAGTGCAGACCGTCTGTATCTCCCATAGGCTATCTTGGGGCTACTTGAGCAGTATAAAGATTCGGCTTTCAACTTAGCAAATACACTGGTGTTCCTGTAGAGCATCTTCTCTTGCATGTTCTTGTTTTAAAACTACACCAATTGTGTTTGTAAGCATTGGGGCTTTGTGCCTCACCACAGTGCGTCTGAGAAGATAGCCTTGCAAACCCTTCAAGTCATTTTTCCAGCCCTGTCAGTGTGCTTGCCTGCACCACCACCTCTCTGTCCCACCACATTTGTGAGGCACCAGCAAGAGGCAAGGCTGTGCTGAGTCAAGTGTGGGTCTTGACCTCTCCAACACTGCTGTCTCATCCCTTGTCATAATCCACATACACTCAGTGGCAGCAAGACCTCATGAGAGTTATGGCACCTGATTTTAACACTCCACTAAGGGAAGTCACAGGTGAAAGGTGGAAGAGAGACCTTGAACTTACTGAGAGTAATTTAACCCATCTGCAGGATCTTTGATGGCCTGGGGACCAGGCATGCATTCCTAACATCTCAACTAGGCAGGGAGCTCCACTTTGAACAAAACCTTCACAAGACATAGAGCTGCCCTAATAAAGCATCATAAATTGAAGGGCTTAAATCAATAGAAACTTGTTCTCTCACAGAAGGTAGAAGCCCCCAGTCAAGATGTCGGCAGGCCATGCTCCTTCCCAAGGCTCCAGGAATTCTGACTAAAGCACAAAAGAGAAGCAACTTATAGCAGGAAAGGGTTTCTCCTGGCCCCTGGCATCAGAGGGGTTTCAGGGCATTATAACAGGAGGGAGTGATGGAGTGGCTTTGGTTCATGGTAGAACTACATGGTGGAAACTGTTCGTGTGTCAGCTGAGCAGGAAGAGCCAGAACCAGCACTGAATTATAACCTGCAAAGGTCACCCCTTGGAAGAACTTACGTCTCCCATCTGTGTCCATTCCATTGCTTCCCAACAGAGGAATGAGCACACAGTTCAGACTCAAGTAGTAACATTTACCTCAGACTCCGAAAGTTCATAGCCATCTCACAGTGCAGTCCTCACAGTTTTTGTTTTTTTATTTTGCTTATGGGTGCTTTGGCTTCGTGTTTGCCTGTGTTCCACATGCATGCCTGATGTCCTGAGAGGCCAGATCCCCTGAAATGAAACTGGAATTGCAGATAGTCATGAGTAGCCATGCATGTGCAAGAAGTTGAACTCAAGTCCACTAGCAGAACAGCCAGTGCTCTTAACCACTGAGCCATCCCCCACCCCCAGTCTTAACAGCCCCAACTCTGTTCAGATGTCTAAAGCCTCTTCTGAAACACAGACAAACTTTGAACTGTGACCCTCTATAACACCAAAAGGAGTTACACACTCCCAAGGTACAGTGACAGGAGTCAGCATCCTCATTTCCAAACAACCGGAGCAGGAGAGCCATAAGATAGACTCTGGCAAGTCCAAAGCCAGGCAGGGTGCTTACTAAACCCTAATGCTGCTGCCTTTGAGATACGTGTCATGGTGTTGACTCTGACAGGCTTGGCAGCCCTGCCCACATGACCCTGCTGCTTGTGACACACATTCTCCCTCCTGGTCTGGGTTCATTCTTTGCTTGCAGATTTTCTCAACAGACATCCTATGCTCCTGGAATGTCCCCAGGCCTCCGTTGACATTTATGCTTTACTCTCAAAGCTTCACACATAATCTGTCAGGGGCTTTCCTCAGGGAACCTGACACTGCTGCTTACTGACAGCCTCCCTGGCACTTCCTTAAAAATGGTGGGGAGATGGCTCAGTTGGGCATGGTGACAGCTTGTCCCTGGGACTCACTGACTAGCCAGCCTAGCCTACATGGCAAGCTCCTGTCTTAAGAAACAAGGTAGGGAACTCTTGAAGAACAACACCTGAGGTTTATTCAGGGAGAAATAACTTACAACAGAGACAGATGAAAGCCAGCAGGCTCCAGTCCCAAGGATGCCTCTAGATGCACCCTGTCTCCATCCAGGAATTGAGAGAGTCTTCCAGGGTCCCCTACCCCACACCAAGTTCCCCCAGGGACATTTTGGATTCAGAGTGTCACCAGTTAATCTCTGGCATCGATTGGCTTACAACTGTTCCACCCACTCCCTCCATTTTCCTAAACATTACCATCTTCCCACTTTGTGTATCTGTTTCTATGGGTCTCACGAAGACTCCAGCCACTGAACTTAAAACCCTCTCTAACCTTCCTAATGTGATTGCATGAATAAAGACCCCAGTAGTAGGAATTGAATCCATCCTTTGGGGGATTCAGTTCAGTCACTACATAGCATAACTGTCCAGCCCAGCCCAACTGATAACTAATGTCTTGCAGGCTCTAATTTGGACATTGTCTGTACTGTGTGTTTACCTTAAACCTTACTTCAGCTGCATAGGAGGATCCTGTCTCAAAAAAACAGCCAAACAAACAAAACAAACCCCAAGATAAAGTCCGTTACCTCAGTCAGTAAATACCAGAGCCAAGATTCTAGCCAAGTTTGCCAGTTTTAATTCTTTCTAGCACTAGGTCCCTTTCATTGACAATAATAAAATAAATAGATCATAATAACTGATCTGTTTTAGCTTTGAAGCCTGGTCAGTGGTGCCCAGTGTGCCTGGTTACTACCCTTTCATGAGCTACAGAGGCTGGGCTCTCTGCCTGTGCACTCACACTCAGAGCAGGTTGGCGTGCTTACCACTGCCAGCCCCATCTCCAGATGTTCATCTTCTGCTTGTTTGCTTCCTCTCTGTTTTGTAAATGGAGACAGAGCTTTTCTTCCATCCTGACTATCCAGTCCCAAATAATCCCACAAAAGCTTGTATTAATTATTTGGCCTATTGCCCAGGCTTATTACTAACCAGCTCTTACAACTTAAGTTAACCCATTTCTATTAGTCTACATTTTGCCACGTGACTTTGTGGCTTTACTGGTCCTCTGGGACATCTTGTTCCTGTGGTGACTGGCTCACCATCTCTCTTCACCCCACCCTTCTCTCTCCCTGTATCTCCGTTTGGCTTTCCCGCCTGGCCTTATTCTGCCTTGCTATAGGCCAAAGCAGCTTCTTTATTAACCAATGAGAGGAATACATATTCTCTGCATACAGAAGGGTTATCCCACAGCACTGTTTCATTTGGATAATGTGTTTCATTGATGTATCTTTATTATTCTTCCTCAGCTGCACTTAGTGTGCAGGTAAATCAAAGGAATACTTCATCACTGGTGCTAGTTTTTTGTTTGTTTAATTTTGCCTTTATTTTTAGGTAGGAGTGTGTGTGTGTGTGTGTGTGTGTGTGTGTGTGTGTGTGTGTGTGTGCATGCGCGTGTGTGTGCAGGTACATGAGTACAGTGCCAGTGGAGGCCAGAAGAGACTTCAGGTCCACTGGAACTATATTTACAGGCACTTGTGAACCATCTGACATGGGTACTAAGAACTAAACTTGGGTCCTTTGATGAGCAGTCTGCACTCATAACTGCTGAGCCAGTCCCAACATTTGGTTCCTTTGTATTTTTTGTTTGTTTTTGTTTTTGTTTTTGTTTTTTGAGATAGGGTTTCTCTATAGCTTTGGAGCCTGTCCTGGAACTGGCTCTGTAGACAGGCTGGCCTCCAGCTCACAGAGATCCACCTGCCTCTGCCTCCCGAGTGCTGGGATTAAAGACATGTACCACCAGCGCCCGGCCTGGATTTTTTTAGGCAAGGCTGACCTCAATATTCATGTAGCCAAGGCTGGCCTTAACTTTCTAATCCTTCTGCCTCTGTCATCTATGTGCTAGAATTACAGTCTTGTAGTGCCACACCTAGTTCATTTCCACATCTCCCCTGAGGTTTCTAGTCTGTTCCAGTGTGCTGTCCTTTTTTTCACTATGAACTGTACTGTATTCATTATGTAATCTCATGTCTGATAGTTCCACTTGTGAATCTTATTCTGTGAATTTGCTTTATATCTCGGCAGTGAATCTTTCCCCATTTTGTCTTGCTTTTATGTGTATGCTGTGGTATTGTTTAATGCCACACACTGTGAGTAGAGTGGTAGATGCCAAAGTAAACAGCATTTACACTTGGCATTTACACTGCTTAGTTTGGGATCTAGGCTGGGGTCTGTCAGTAACTGAGCTGGGTCTGGGCTGTTTTCCTGTCATTCCTTTTGGTGCCCTTCAGGTTCCCTCAGATCCCTGTGTAGAGTAGTGGAGTTTTTAGTGTCCTGTTCCATGCTCAGCCCTGAGCAGGACCTTTTGTGTCCTGTCCTTATGGGAGATAGCCATTGTCTGTTACTTGGTGCTGTTTGTGGGAAGGCATAGGGGTTGCTGGTTCCCCTGCCTGTCTTCAGGTTAGGACATGCTACTAGCCACAGGAACAAGGCGATATCAGTGGTTCACCCCACCCCCTTCCCCTGGCAGCCACACACCACTTTTGGTCTTTGGTGGAACTTGGTTCCAAGGAGGCCTTAAGCCTACCAGGGGCTGAGGTTTTTTGCTTTGGCTCTTCTTCCAGAAGCAGTGGGCCTTTACCTTGTTTCTGAGAAAGTAATCTACTCCCTCCCCAGACACAAACATGCTTCACATCTGCCTCTCTCCAATGACCCTGGGATCAATGGGTTAACTGCCCTCTCCCAGCAACTGGAGGCTTTTTCTTCCATTGAGAGCCCAGGAAATAGGAGGTGCTCCAGGCTTGTCCCTTAGCAGCAGCCAATTGCCTCCTGTACACCTGTGCCACCAAGGGGAACTCTGGCTGGCTGCTTGACACTGGTCCCTCCTGCCAACACTAGGAAGCCTCTGCAGAAGAGTGTGCAAGTGAATGCAAACACCACTGTATCTCAGGCTCTGAGTGTCCCTCAGTGGAGAGTTGGGCTGACGCAGTCCCTGGGAATCTGTTACAGTTTTAGCTGCCGCCGTCTCGAATGCTCTGTGGTGGTCACCTCTCCCCTGTGCTCTGCACAGATGAGCCCATTTCTGTGGCTTCTTTCATACTTGTTAATGTTAAATTTCCATGTTTTTTTGAGATATCAGCTTCTGGTTTTTAGCTTTCTCATTACTAGGATGAGGAAGCAGCTTGCTCTGTGTGTTTTCTCCAGTGCTAGAGATCAACTCCAGGGACTCACATGCTAGGTAAGGGCACTGCCACCGAGCTGTCATCAGTGTTGAGACAGGGTCTTGAACTGACCATCCTCTGACCTCAGCCTCCTCAGTGTTTGGACTACAGGCCTCTACCACCAGGGCCAGCGAAGCAGCGTGTTTTTATTGCTTTTCTGTGTGCTAAATCGAGAAGAACTCCCCTAAAGCCTGCTGGAGATGTAGCTCAGTGGGAGAGTACTTGCTGAGAATGCTCAAGGCCCCAGATTCCATCCCAGCACTGAAAAATAAACTTCCTTTTAAATCCCATCCCTACACTCCCTCCTGAAGTCTTTCCCTTCCAAGGTCGTGATTATGTAAGACAGAAAGGGGTTGCATCATCTTTCTAAAGGCCTGTCAATCAAACCCAGTCCAGAGAAAGCATGGCTGACACAAAATGTGGCTAATTCAGTGTGTCATGAATCTGGAATTACCCTTCTCCTTCCCCTTGGGTGATTTTGGGGATCCAACCCAAGGCTACACATGCTAGGCAAGTGTTTCCCTACAGAACTATTCTTCCAATCCAGAACTCCTTGCGGACCTCTCGTGCACCTCTGAGGTACTGGAGACCCTGAGGAGATGACTTCAGTCTTCAAAAGATGTTTTCATGCACTTTATCTCGCGTCCTCTCGCTGTCATAGGATACGGGAGCAGATGGTGGCCCTAAACTGGAAACACAAAGAGAGGCCTGGGAATGAGGTGCAGCCCCTAGGATCACATGGCTCTGCTGGTCCTGAATCCAGACTGTCTGACTCCAGCCAGACCCCAGCCTAAGCTGCTCTCCTGAGCACTGACTGTAAGGTCTCCTGGGGGAAACCAAATATCTGTAGTCATTCGTTCAGGGTGTAAGTGATTCCTTCTGTGATTTGATCCTAAAGCCCAAGGTGGTCTGGTTTCGTAGCTGGAAACAATGTCCCTAATAGGATCACATTTCTTAGGAGTTTGTTTGTGCCCGAATTAGAGAGGAGCCCAAGGTTGAGACTCAGCCACATTGTCTTCTCTTCTGCAGCTCTGGTGGGCGCCTGCGGTGGGAACTACTCAGCCATGGCAGCCGTGGTCTACTCCCCTGACTTCCCTGACACCTACGCCACTGGGCGGGTCTGCTACTGGACTATCCGGGTTCCTGGAGCCTCACACATCCATTTCAACTTCACCTTATTTGATATCAGGGATTCTGCAGACATGGTGGAGCTGCTGGATGGCTACACCCACCGTGTCCTAGTCCGTTTCGATGGAAGGAACCGCCCACCTTTGTCCTTTAATGTCTCCCTGGATTTTGTCATTTTGTATTTCTTCTCTGATCGCATCAATCAGGCCCAGGGATTTGCTGTCTTATACCAAGGTAAGACATCCTTACCTCTGGGGGCATAGGTGCCTCGGCTTTCTCTTCCTCGCCAGGGTTTACATGGCTAAAGTGGTTCTTTAGGGGCAGACTTGGACCTACTGACTCAGCTGCAGATGATCTCAGCATTGATTCACCCCCCCACTTACCTCATACAACTCCCCACCTGCCGGTGCACGCCATCCCACCTTCCGGTGCACACCATCCCACCTTCCGGTGCACGCCATCCCACCTGCCAATGCACCCATCCCACCTTCCGGTGCACACCATCCCACCTTCCGGTGCACCCATCCCACCTTCCGGTGCACGCCATCCCACCTGCCAATGCACCCATCCCACCTTCCGGTGCACGCCATCCCACCTTCCGGTGCACACCATCCCACCTTCCGGTGCACACCATCCCACCTTCCGGTGCACGCCATCCCACCTGCCAATGCACCCATCCCACCTCCCCCCCCTCCCACCTTCCGGTGCACACCATCCCACCTTCCGGTGCACCCATCCCACCTTCCGGTGCACGCCATCCCACCTGCCAATGCACCCATCCCACCTTCCGGTGCACGCCATCCCACCTTCCGGTGCACACCATCCCACCTTCCGGTGCACACCATCCCACCTTCCGGTGCACGCCATCCCACCTGCCAATGCACCCATCCCACCTTCCGGTGCACACCATCCCACCTTCCGGTGCACGCCATCCCACCTTCCGGTGCACGCCATCCCTCCTGCCAGGGCACAATTGGTTTATATTTCAGTTATACTATTTTAATAGTTTTGTTTATTTTAGATTTTATTTGCGTCTATGTGAGTGTATTCCACATATATATGGGAACTTAAGGAACCAGAAGAGGTCATCAGATCTTCAGGAGCTAGAGGGTGTAGGCAGGCAGCTGTGAACTGCCTTACATGGGTGCTGGGAACAAAACTCAGATCCTCTGAAAGAGCAAGCCATTGAGCCATCTCTTCAGCCCAATTTTAGTCGTTTTAGCAATTTTAGCGCAGTTTCATAGAGAATGGACAGATAAGAGGTGACTGACTGGTGGAATTGGAAGGCTTCCAAGTGGGCACTTCACCCATCCACTTCTCAACATCTCGGGCAGTCCCACAGACTAATTTACCATCTTTCCTGGAGGGACTACAGAACACAAAGCAGAGAAACAAAAAAGCAGCTTCAGTGTCTGAGGAGACCGGTCTCGTGGCTACAATCAGCAGTCTCTGTCTTCTGCCCCTGCAGAGCCAGGCCAGAGCCTGACAGGTTCTGCTTTGCCACCAGGGAGACCAGCAGAGGAATCCCTGTGTAGACTTGAATCAGAACAGACCTCATGACCAGTTGTGGCTCCCACCTGTAACAACAGCTCTTGCTCTTGGGTGGTAGAGGCTGGAAGATAGGAGTTCAGGGCCATCCTCAACTCCATAGCTGGAGGCCATCCTGGGCTATATGTCTCAAAAAGAGGGAAGTGTGGAGGCAGTGGTTCAGTGGTCGGTGCGGGACGAGCATGAGGAGTAGAGTTCGGACCCTGGAGTGCACGTAAAGCTGAGTGGGTGTGGTGGCCCACCTCTAATGCCAGCCTTGGGAGGTGGAGATGGGGTCCCCAGAACGGGGCACTCTGCATGTGTTTGAGACTGCCTTGTTGAGTAGCATGGAAGGGTGTCTGAGCATCAGCCTTGTGCCTCCTCACATATTACACATCCCACATGCATGTACATCCACACACATGCAAAGCAATCTCTCACAGAGAGAGAAATAGAAAGGGCCTCAGGCCAGCCAGAGCAGTGCCCTCCTTCCTGCTGTCTTCTCGGCTTTCTCTAGTTAACCCTTTTGATCTCCTAGCCACCAAGGAAGAACCACCACAGGAGAGGCCTGCTGTCAACCAGACGCTGGCAGAGGTGATCACCGAACAAGCCAACCTCAGCATCAGCGCTGCCCACTCTTCCAAAGTCCTCTATGTCATCACCACCAGCCCCAACCACCCACCGCAGACCGTCCCGGGGAGCCATGCCTGGGCACCGTCAGTTGGGGCCAGCAGCCACAGAGTGGAAGGTAATTCTCCCAACACTTACAGAAACAAAGGCACTTGTGGGTGCTGCTCCTTCAAATGCAGGTTGGGATATTGGCTCTGCAACCTCTAGGCTGCATGGCCTCTGAAAGAAATACTCTTATCAGCCTAGTTCCCTTCCAAAGATGGATTCTGTGTGCCTTTGGTAACTGTGATTAGCAACTAAGCTGGTCTCTTCATCATCATAAAAAACAAACATCATGCTAAGAGCATTTTTCTAAAGCCCCAGTGTAGAGTTCCTCAAATATGTTGAGTCAAAGGTGCATGCAGGCAAGACGTTGGCTCAGCTACAGAACATGCACCAGAAGGGAAAGGAAAAGATAAAACAAAAGATACAGAATTCCTTCAGTGATGCCATGCAGTGTTCTAAACACTGAACCATGTATTGAACCAGATAAACTCCTGCCCTTCTTTTGTCTGGAGACGTGAGTCCAGTTTCCAAGTTGAGGCAGCATAAGGCCAGATATTCCTCCTCTTCTGCAGAGTGAAATGCACACAGAATGCTAGGACAATACTGTGCATGTTTTCTATGGGTTACCAGTGGGAGGAAGGAAGCCAGAAACACTGTCAAAGGTCAGAAGTGCTAAGAGCTATGAAGAGAAGCCATGCAGGAGAGACCATGGGCCATTAACTTCCATGGTTAAGCTAGTAGAGCTGGCAACAGATGTCCTTCCCTGCTTTTCTGTTGAGGATACAGTCCTTGAATGAGCTGGGGCACTGAAGACTACTGCCATCTATAATTTGGTCTTGAGGTCTTTACACTGTTCCTTGGCCTCTGTAGATCTCACCATAAAAGGTCAGGGAAGGAGCCCTCTCTAGCCCCACCTTATTTGACTGTGAATTCCAGTAGGATTTCATAGGTCACACTTCTCATTGCTCAGATGAGAAAACTGGGACCCAAAGACTTCTAGATAACTGACTGTTGAGTTCTAGTGGCAGACAGATTTATCACACCCTTTTGACTTTGAGTCTGATGTTTGGAACTTACCAGAGGGAGTTTCAGAACAAGGCAAAGTCATAAGAAAGTTCCATGCTTAGCCAAGCTCTGGTTACTACCACTGCCAGGTTTGGTGGCTGCTCCCACCTGCAGGGTCCACAGAGCCAGATCAGCATCCCTGAGCTGCCGATCTCCTTTGGAAAATGAAAACAAACTAATCTGGTGAGCTCTCTTTGCACTTGTAGGATGGACCGTATACGGCCTAGCAACCCTCCTCATCCTCACAGTCACAGCCGTCGTTGCAAAGATCCTTCTGCATGTCACATTTAAGTGAGTACAAGAGGAGGGGGGAGGGGCTCAGCAGTTCTTTCCTCTGTCACTTAGTTTGTCTGGGTACAGTTGTAAACAGAGTGTGCCTCCAGAGGCTGGGTCCCAGGCAGCTGCCTCTTCCTCTCAAAAGAAAAGACAACAGGACAAATCACTCTGAGGTGCAGGCATTCTGTGTCCACTAGATTCAGCTTCAGGAAGGGTTGAGACCATTCTGGCATAGGAGACAGCAAGTGTCTGCTGGGGGCTTGTGCTGTTCCCTTGAAGAGGTTTGTATTGAAGTCAAGCTTCCTAGGACAGTCCTGTGCATTTTTCTCAATGCCTCTAGAAACTAAGAAAGTCTTACGAAGAGAATTTCAACATTTCTTTGACAGTTCCTTACATGCACATGACATACTCTGCTGACAGTCACCCCATGCCTCTCTTCTCCCCTCCTTCTCTCATCACCCCCACCGAGCCACCCTCCAGCTCTCAGGTCTTTCTGTTTTGTTTCTGTTTTTACTTTGTGGCCCACTGGGCTCAGGTAGGGCTGCACACATAGGTATGTGTGTAGCACTATGCACTGAAGCATGAGCAGCTCTCCAGTGGCCACGCCCCCAAGACAGTGACTTCCCATCTCCAACAGCCTTTGACTGCCTTAGCTCTCCCAGGCGAGGCTGTGGCCCACGAGCCCCTCCCTTGCCTGTGACTAAGTGTTTAGGATTCAGTCTTATACAGCTGCCATGAATTCCTGAGTGCCAAAGCCTTGTCACAGCCATGAGACAACATGCCGCGTCACCTGACTCTTGCGCTGTTCCCTCCTCCTTTTACATGGTGACCTTGGAGAGGTCTGTGTGTCCTGTTGGTGTCCCAAACTCTCTCTTATTCCAAACTCTGGGTGACCAGTAAGTACACCTATTACCCTAAAAATTATTTCTAAACATTTATTTAAGCCAGGCACCTGAATCCTAGCTACTTAGAAAGCTAGAACAGGAGCATTGTGACCAAGGCCAATATGAACAGCTCATCAGAACCCTCTTTCTGCTAGGTACAGCCCCTCATGTCTGTGAGCTCAGCACTCAGTAGGCAGAGACAGGAGCATTGTTGCAAGCTTGAGGCGAGCCTGGACTACAAAGTGACACTGTCTCAAATAAAACAAAAAGCAAAACCTGCCTTCACTTAAAAAAAAAAAAAAAACTTTACCATTGTCAAGTGTTGGTGGGACACACCTTTAATCCCAGCACTCGGGAGGCAGAGTCAGGCAGATGTCTGTGAGTTCGAGGCCAACCTGGTCTACAGAGAGAGTTCCAGGGCAGGCTCCAAAGCTACAGAGAAACCCTGTCTTGAAAAACAAAACACAAAGACCTATCATTTAGTTCTAACAGAACTGAAGAACGTTGTTCCCTGTGTGCTCTGCCTTCCAGGCTGTTTGTGTGTTGGAGAGCTCTTGCTTTCTCTAACTCCATTTATCTTTTCTGTGGTTCCCACTTAACAGCCTTCCTGAACTCTGAGTTCTGGTACGAGCCTCCCTTCTGGTCTCATGTGCCCTTGTTGCAAATGTTTACACATGGAAGCCAGCTGTGGCCACACTAGTGACCTTACCCATCTCCTCTCTGAACTTCTTCAGTAGAAATAATGGCCTTACTGTTGTCAGCTGAGCTCATCTTTCAGACAGACAGACACACACACACACACACACACACACACACACACACACAAAGAGTGAGATGTGGAAGGGTTCTTATATGGATATCTGTTGAGAATTAGTTTCAGAACACCATGTGAATGCCAAATCTTGAGTTTTCTCAAGCCTCTAATGTAAAATGATGTAGGACTGAACATGACTCATGTCCTCCCATACAGTGTCCACTCCAGTGCATCTCCACACGGCCCCTCCCATACAGTGTCCACTCCAGTGCATCTCCACACGGCCCCTCCCATACAGTGTCCACTCCAGTGCATCTCCACACGGCCCCTCCCATACAGTGTCCACTCCAGTGCATCTCCACACGGCCCCTCCCATACAGTGTCCACTCCAGTGCATCTCCACACGGCCCCTCCCATACAGTGTCCACTCCAGTGCATCTCCACACTGCTCACAGTATCTAACAGTGGCATTGCAAAGTAGTTGTTAGTGAATAATGAAAAGAAGTCTGGATGTGTCAGCCCAAACTAAACTTTTTTTCAAGAATTTTCACCTGTTGTCAGCTGCCCTCTCTGATATAGAACCTGCACCTTCAGGGACTTACTAAGTGTGTTAAATGTCATAATTGGCATTCTAGGAAGCCTCTCAGGGCTAAGTCGTGTGTGTGTGTGTGTGTGTGTGTGTGTGTGTGTGTGTGTGTGTGTGTGTGTGTGTGTGTGTCTGCAATAGCCACAGGGTGCAGTGTCTCATAGCAAAGCTGAAGCCCTAAAGCACATACATCACTCCTCTAACACTGGAACCCTCCATAGCCTCCCTGCCTGTCAGGAGGTAAAGAGAAGGGTAGGCTAGGAACATGGCTGTAAGTCCGGGACCCCTGCTTCACACTGAAAACGTCCCCTTAGACAGGCTTCCAGGTAAATGGCATTTGTAGGTAGCATCCTTTTATTGGGGTGGGAGTAAAAGAAGAGGAAAAGAGAAAAGGAGTATTTGAAAATTCATAATCTCTTCAAACACCCTTTTCCAGCTTTGAGTTATTTTGACAGAAAGTCCTTTGTTACCTTGAGGAGACTCTGCCCTGCCTTAATGCCTATGCCCGTGGGCCATATTTCATCCTTAACTCTTGTCTTGTTTTTTGAGACAGGGTTTCTCTGTGTAGCCCTGGCTGTCCTGAAACTCACACTGTAGACCAGGCTGGCCTCAAACTCACAGAGATCCACCTGTCCCTTCTGGGACTAAAGGCGTGTGCTACCAAGCCCAGCTTCATCCTTAACTCTTTAAGGTAGCCAGCACCCTCCCCAAGGCCATGCCTCACAGGTACAGGTGCCTTGGGAGGTGGTGATCTGAATTCTTTGTTCAGATCTACTTGAACAATTATTTTCGTTTGACAGGTTTCATCGTGTTCCTGCTTCAGGAGACCTTAGAGACTGTCGTCAACCAGGGGCTTCTGGGGAGATCTGGACCATTTTCTATGAACCTTCCACTACAATCTCCATCTTTAAGAAGAAGCTCAAGGGCCAGAGCCAACAAGATGACAGGAACCCCCTCGTGAGTGACTAAAGCCTCACCGCACCCAGACAGGAGGCTCCTCTCTGAGCTCAAGGCTGCTGGGGTCCCTTCCCCATAGCCTCTCCATTCACCTAAAGCCTCATGGGGCCACCCTTCTGCAGACTTGGGAAGGGCACCCTCTTGCAGGGGTAATGTAGCCTGGAGTCCTCCATCACTTGCACTTAAGCTATGCCCGGCCTGCAACTCTGTCTCCACTGGGGACGCTAAAACCGGGCTGAGCTGACAGAACAGCTGGGCCTGATTCTAGATGACTGTTGGGTGGTGGGTAGTTTAGTGTGTGATGAGTTTTTCTTGCTTCTCTATTTTGTCCACGTATGGATCAGTTTCCCCTGGTCTTTACGGGTTGGAACAGAGCCAGACTGAAGAAATTCTTGGGTTTTCTTGAAGGCTGGCCTGGTTCCCTACCAGTGTGGTCTCCTGGATGTTAGCACCTCAGAGTGGACAAGGGTCCAGTGCTCTGTACTGGCCCTGTAGCTTTCTCTCTGATGCCGACTAGGATGTGCCTCATCTAGTCGGAGGGGACTGAGAGCAGGTCACTCTGGATGTCTTCTTTCTAGAGGATTCGCTGACCTGCAGGGCAAGCCTGAGGATTGAGCATAAAAAGTCCCTATGTTTGTCCATGGAGCAGACACTGCAAACTTCCTGTATACTAGACTTACCTAGCCTGCCCCAAGCAGTTCCCCGGCCTGTGGAATCTGCACTCAGCCAAGTCCTAGTTCAGAGCCAGGCGTTTAAAGGCTGTAGCATAGCGCTGCGGCTGTAGCTCAGTGGTAGAGGGCTGCCTTGCACACGTGAGGCCCCAGGGTCAGTGCTAGCACTGCGAAAAGAGGGAGAGAAAAACTGGAGGCAGCATCCCCTGGTAAGAGCAGACCCGTGCTTCCTGCATGAGGTGTCTGTCATTTTAAAAGAAGGCTATGTCCTTTGTCCCTTATCATGGGGACAGAGCAGTTAGGAATGAGGGTTCTTGTTTTGCCCCGTCACTTTGTCCCTTAGACGGGCAGGCGGACTACAGAAGTTGGCAAAAGGAAAAGGCAGGGCTTGGGAACTGGAGATCTTCCCAGGAGAGGCTGGAAGATTGAGAGTCCCAGCTGCAGTGGCTGCCAGTTGTGAGAGGAAGGGCCATCCCTGATGGAGAAGTCCAGCAGTCTGGAAGTGGCCTTTGTCAGCCACAGCTGAGAGGAACAGCCTGTGCCCTGAAGGTGGACCTTGGTCAGCGTATGGCTTTCCTGACAGCACTTGAGCCTCGGTGGGTGCGTGTGGGCCTCTGATCTCCTGGGGACCCTCATGGAGCACTACGCTTACCTCCCCTGCATCTCTAAGCCACTGCCATTGAGGTCTTTTGTAGGGTTCGGGTAACCCATCTGTAGCTGGCTGCTCCCGGGACAGAGGACTATGTGGGACCGTCAGGGAGCATCCTCAGGGAGAGGCAGTGACGAGAGCTGATGGGAGAAGGAAAACCATGTCTCTAGAGTGGGCCAGGGTGCTGGCCAGCTACAGAGATGCTGGGGCTCATCCTCTCACTTTGATCTGGAAAAGCTGCAGCTCCTGGGTCTGAAGACCGTCTCACCACACACGAAGACCACTGGAAATAGACTGACAGGAGCAGGTTCCACTCCAGGCTGTTCCTAATGCTTGTGGGATCCCCTGTGAAAACAGTCACAGAGTACCATGTGCATAGCGCAAAGAGGGTGTAGGCTCTCTCCCGGGGAGGGTTCAGCTGGCCAGGACACTTGTTTAGCTCTGATCACTGGCTCCAGGCTTCCTCCAGGCCACCACCCATGGGCCTCTTCACATCTCAGCTACAACTCAGCTGCCCTTTATTGGCATCCCCAGGAAGGTCAGGGGACATACCCATACGCCTCTTGCTGCTGGCCTTGGCACAGCCCAGCATTCCAGCATCCGCTTCCCCTCTGGGGAGCAGTCCCAGGAAACATCAACCCACCTTACAACAGCATGAGGCAGTGGGAAGGGGTGTAAATCACCCAGGCCAGACCTCCAGAAATGACAGCCACAGCCTGTTAGAACCTGCCAGCAGCATGTTTACCAGTCGGCTGGTAAACACTGAGTGCCGAGTGTTCTGGGAGAGGGGGCTTTTGAGTTGAGGAGGGTGGAGGTTGCCTGAGGAGAGCAGCAACACGAAAGACTGCTGGCCCTTCAGGGACATAGGAGCAGGCACAGACCGGCACCTGTGTCCCCTCCTACTGCTTTCACTGCTTAGAAAGTGGAGCCGGTAGGAAAGAAGCCTGTGTCTCCCCCACACCAGCAAACATGGCGCTGAGGCCGCCCGGAGAGAGCAAGGTGACCACACCTCTCAGACTTCTCGAAATGTGGGCTCCGGCTTCAGACCTCAGCCAAAAGCTCCCGAAGATCAAAGCTCTGGCAGGTACAGCTGTCCTGGCCTGAGCCAGCCCATGGGATGTGCCTGGGCCAGATGCCACCCCATGTCCCAGTGTCAGCCCAGGCCGGACCCCACCTGACCCTCCTCATCAGACACTGGTCTGTCGCCAGCAGGACTTGCACAGCTGTTACCACCCCCGCCCCCCTAGGACTGTCCATACTTAACCTTCAAGAGCACTTAGAGTGGATGGGCTCCCAGACTCTGCTGATTATCTGCAGGACCCACACTAGGTCTCCCAGGCCAGCTCCTCACTCCACCCACAGTCCTCCATGGTTACCTCTGGGGCTCCTCTGGGGTTTGGAATCTCTTTAAAAGTCTGCTTTGGGTATGGTCTGGGGAACTGTTAACCCTTCCCTTCCTGTGCCTTTGTTTACTGTCCTCACCCTACCTCCAGGCCACTCTCAACCTAGCTGCTCCTATATGGGGGGGGGGGCTTGTCAGACCTGCCAGCCACACCCCCACCCTGTCTGCCAACAGAGCCTGGGGGCTTCGCACAGGCTCTTGCCATGTTGGAGCTGAGCACACTGGCTGAGGCTGAGTGGGTAGGGGGACAGTGGGAGGTGACTCTCTCATATCAGAGGGACACATGCAAGGGATCCTTTCCTGCCTGCACAGGGAGCTGCCATCCCTGCCACCCTCGTGGCACCAAGACCTTGCCATTTCCAAACTCACCCTCCAGCAGGGATCTGACTTTGGACAATAAGGCTTTATTTGTAAATATGCTCTTAATATGCAACTTTGAGAATGAAATAGAAACATCGTGTATTTTAAAGTATAAAATGAAGTGTGACACACTGTATACAATTTAATATATATTTTTAGGGTTTTGTTATTTAAGAAAATGGAATGTGATGGTACTTAACTTTTACAAAAGAGAGAAAAATGTTATTTTTACTGTTTGAAGAAAATAAATATTCTCATTGTTGTAGAAACTGGTGGGCCCTAGGCTGTCATTTTTACAGGGAGTCCCAGGAGTCGGGCCCACAGCAAAGTATGCAGTGCTGGGCCTCTTCGCCCTCCCAGGCACTGGGCCAGGCATTGGCTGGCTCTCTCTGGGTTTCACGGTCTTGGGTTTCACCGTCCTGTCATTGCTTGCCCACAGCTAAGCAGAGTGGACCAGCTAAAGACCAAGACTCCACATGCGGCCTGATTGCTTCGGCCTCCTCACACTGGAAACAGCCATCACCCAGGCAATGGTGGAGAGACTGTGCCGCCATCCCCAGGAGAGCTGGGCTGGCCTCCCAGAGGAACCCTGCTCCTCTGCCCTCCTCTGCCCCAGTCTCTCTGTTGCTGGTTTGGTTTTTTAGATAGGGTCTATCTCTGCTGTGCTGCCCAGGTTAGCCTCAAACTCCTAGGTTGGCACATTCCTCCCATCTCAGCCTCCCCAGTAACTGGAAGTCAGTCTCGGTGAGGCAGCGTGAGTTGGTAGTCGGAGCACAGAACCGTAGTCAGCCGGCCAGGGTTCGGATTCTTCTGTCCTTCAGCCTGGAACCAGGAAGAGTGAGGCAGAAGGAAAGGGCTTCAAAGAGCTCCGGCCAGTGGCGTCACATTCCCAGCTTAGAAAGAACTCCTCTTTGCATCCAGAAAAGTCAGATGAGAGTGAAGAGACCAAGTGCAAGCTGACCAAAAGAAGGTGAAGATACAGATCTGGATTAGAGATGTCAGGGCCTGAGGAGGCCCCACCCCAGTACCGAGGCAGGAAAGGCTGACCACACCCATAGGTCAGGGCACATGCTTAGACCCAAGAGCCCAGGTTACATCCAAACCCCTCTTACCTCGGGGCCTCTGTGCCTAGTGCATTGGGTTGTGTGCACCATTACCAGCTCACATCATTAGCTAAATGGTAGCTGTTGCTTTTATTCTAGAATATACCTAGGGGTTAAGAAAACAGGTATCTGAGCCAGGCGGTGGTGGTGCACGCCTTTAATCCCAGCAATGGGGAGGCAAAAGCAGGCAGATCTCTGTGAGTTCAAGACCAGCCTTATCTACAAGAGCTAGTTCCAGGACAGCCTCCAAAGCCACAGAGAAACCCTGTCTCAACACCCCCCCCCAAAAAAAAAAAAAAGAAAGAAAGAAAACAGGTATCTGAGCTTGGTGTCTGGGCAGGGAGAAAAGCCACTCTGTGATTAGGATAAGTAAGTCACAGGTATCATAAAACCCTGATAAGTTTTATGTGGGCTGAATCCAGGGATGTCAGTGTGGGCAGGCCATTAAGGCAGATGGCCTGAGACCGCAAGAGGCTCTGATCTTAAGAGCGTCTTCCATGCTAATACCCTAATATCCTTGGGTATGTATAGACGGTGACCCCAGAAAGCTGCCGAAACAGTGTTAAGACACTGAGGCAGGTAAGAGGACTAAAGGGAACTGAGACAGGGCAGGGCTTTCCCATAAGCCAAGGGACCTACCAACAAAGCCCGCCTACCTGTTGTGGGAGACCCTGCCTGATGGCTTGCTGCTCCTCAGAGTCTCAGAGTCAGGAGTGATTTGGCTGGATTGAGTCTCCTCAGCCAGCCAGATCAGTCCAGCCAAAGAATCCCACCTCCACTACCTGAGATGTAGACTGTTTGTCAGAGTGATTCAGGGACCCCTAGCCCAGTCCCAGACCTGACATATATCAGCTTCCCTGAGAAGTGCCCACCATGTCTGACCACGGCTTCATCCATTTGGGAACTTTTACCAAAGTCAGTTCTGGAAGGAATTATCCATACAGCCAGCTGTGCAAATTGTAATCACTGCTGTGTCTACCCACGCGATGGGTAGACAGCTGCAAAGACTTCCAGCCCCAGATGCACCACAGGACAGAGGACTGGGTGCAGAAGATGTGAGCAACACAGCAGGTGTTCCCAGAGGCTGCCCCAGTGGGGACACTTCTGCCACCCTGTGGTGACCACACTGTGAAAGGCCAGCTCAACTGGAGTGTTTATCTTTTCTGAACTTTCCTGTTTTCCGAGAACCGCTGTCTTTCCATGATGGAGGATATGTGTAATGGCAGGAAATGGCTAGTGAGGACATGTGGGGCGGCCTTGCTGATAGATTTCAGACAGACTGTGCAGCAACACAATACTACATTAATGAGACCAGAATGTGCAACCGTCCTGCCCAAAGAACCCCCTTTGGATTATGCGACAACAGGAAGAGACCCCCAAGACCATTTGAATAGAGTTGGGAGCCACCTGACCTTGACCTGACATGTCACCCGTCCCCACAGCCTCTGATCCATCACCAGGGTGGCTCTAGCCTCATCCTTTGTCCTGCAGTCAAAGGCTTTTCACGTACAGGGAAAGGCTGGACAAAGGTGACCTTGTCTCCAAGCTTGTGAGTCACATGGCCATATCGTCTCCGGAGTGGGCCATGTGTGTTGAAGCTGTAGGCAGACTCTGGGGCTCAGAGAACTGAGGAGCCTTTGTTCCTCTGTGGCAGTGTTGGGTCCCCACAGGGGTATGTTTTTGCTCAGCTAAAGGAGACACTTTGGGGATAGAATATGCCAGCGTTAGAATACAGCACCTTCAAGTACAGCAGCTCTTGCCTGCAGCCAGAGTCTTCATTTCTGGTCTCCAGCTGCTCTCAGAGCTACCGGGGCCCCGCCCCCGGAACGGGCCAACACCTGCTACTGGGGGGTGGTCAGTGGGATTGACACGGAAGCCCATATCCAGGGCAAGGACACCCTGGGAAATGAACCTGTCAGCTCTGTGGGGGCTGGGCTGGGGAATGGCATTCAGCAGGAAGGAAGGACTTTAGCAGAAAAGGAGGCTGGAGGGCCTCAGGAGGACACAGAGAGGTCTAAATTACACAGGCGTTTTCAGGAGCAAAGCTACAGAATCCTCGTCGTTCAGTGGTAGAGCTACCCTGTTAATCCCAGCCACGAAACAAAGCATGGTCAGGGCTCCGTGTGCTGATCATGTGATCATATCTTAAGTGGCAGAGGCTGCAAGGAGTAGTCAGACCTCCGGTTTAGCCAAATACAGTTAAGGGCTTGCGGGCTGAGGGACTTGCCAGGACTAATCACAATGGCACTGGTGACTCCCATTCTCTACAGTGCTAACTGTGGCTCTGACATCGTGCCGCACTTCACAGACATCGCTAGATCCTTCTTTTGTTTGTTTGGCAGTTTTATCACTGGTCAAGAGGACCTACAAGCCTGGGGTCTTTCAAAGGTCCCCAGATTCTTACGCTGAACCAGGCAAAACAAAGAGTTCCCTTCAAGCCCGAGTCCACCCGCCATTAGAACAGCCATTTTCTGTTGACAAGTGTCCCCTGAGGGCTGAAGTTGAAGGCCAAGGGTCATCCGTCCTACCTTGGAACTGTAGAAGACCACTATCGTTTTCCTTCAATCCGTGTAGGAACTTTTTTTTTTTTTTTTAAGGGAAGTATGCCTTTGTCTCCGTGCTTCCCATATAAAGCTTTGGGGAAGAGACTAAAACCCACATCTTTCTCTCCCTTCCTTGACTGACGGAGGCCACAGCAGCAGCAGGAACAGCAGTGGTGGCAGCAGCCACAGGGGCAGATGTGTCAACCAAGTCAGCAAGTGGGAAGGTGTCCTCCGTGTCAGAAAAGTCGGGACCCATGTGTATCCACGGATGGTAGAATGTGATTGTCAGGCAGTGAGTGGGTACCCCATCTGCAAACACTGGCAACACTGTGAACATAGGAAGGGAGGGAGATCTTCGCTGAATTCAGCAACGTGTCTTCACTGGCTCCCACCTCCTTCGCCTCTGGTCTTTGCCAGCTGCACATCACTCTGAATATCAGTGGTACCCCGGGGATTTTAATGGTGATGCCTAAAGCCTAGAAGAAAGAGGCCTTCTCAGGCCACAGACCAGTGTGCTGGGTGGTACACTGACCTTATATGGGGTGATGACCCCAGCATGGGCTGCAGATGGCACCTTATTGGCCAGCAGCCGCTCTCTGACCTCAGTGAGGTCCTCCTTGTGCACACAAAGCCCGTGTCCTTCCACAGCTGAGTTGGTTTCCAGATGTCCCTGGTGGCCTTGCACATCATGGTGTTCTTGCCTCCCCTCAAAGGGACATGCAGGTCTGCAGGTCTCGCTGGAGCCCAAACTGCCTGCTCCCATAGGGAAGCATTTTGAGTGTCATTCAAAAGTTGGAAGTAGTTGGACTTCCAGGTTGGCCTGCCTTCCTTGGGCATCATGGAGGTGCATCAGGGATCTCCACCAAGGGTTTAAAGACCGTGTTACTGTAATGAGGATGCCTGGCAAGAACGCTGTATATAGGTTCTTAGTTGGAACAAGCCCCTGGTTGCACAAGCAGATTGACAAGAGGAAAACATGTTGGTCTCAAATCCTTTGCAACAGCCCAGCAATCTCAGAAAGGGGGTCAGTCAGGGGAAGTCATGGCCAGAATGCGGGATTCAGCCAGGGTCCACCAGCCCCAAAACTGGAACCCTTTCCACCAGCCCCCACCCCTCACTGAGCAGAGGAGTCCCAAATACGTCATCATAGATGTCTCCAGACAGCCCAGGAAGAGTGTATGCACATGTGCCTGGAACAAAGAAATGATCTAACTACACCTGTTCCTCTATCTGAGGACACACACTCCTTTAAGAATCAGGTGAGAGATGAAGAAATGCTTCAGCAGTTAAGAGCACTGTTTGGTCTTACCGAGGACCTGGGTTCAGTTCCCGGTACCCACATCTGTAACTCAGCTCTAGCACATGTGGTACGTAGACACGCATGCTGGCAAAAACCCATTTAAAGAATCAGATGAATGTGCACACCCCCTTTCCCCAATGATGCCACCCACTGGACTTGGCATGATGACACTGGAGGTACAAACATCAGGAAGCCCTCCATAGTCCCCAGGCTTGTGATCGATGTCCTCAGGAAGCCATGACAAATGGAATAACAGCTGCAATGGTAGTGATCATGGACCCATCCTTTAAACCATTTACACAAGGGGCTTGGCAAGCTATTTAC